AAGTGCAGTAGCAGAATTTAGTTTGATGGAAAGCACATAAAGAAAGTGGCTTGGGTTAGATCATTTTTTTCTTCACAAATTCTTGTATAAAGCGGCTTCGCAGTGCTTGTTTTTTAAAAAAAAAAATAATAAAAAAAAAAAAAAAAAAAAAAACTGGTTTTTTTATGGTTTTTTGTATTAACTCGAGTTTATTTGAAAAAAAAAAAATGCTAGTATAGTTAGTTGTTTGTAGGATTTTAAGAATGTATTAAAATAATATTCAAAATAAAATGATTAATGATTCGATGTAAAAGTACGAGATAAATGATTGGAAATGATAGGTAGTTAATTATGTGAGTGAATGAATAGTGAATTAAAGTTGATGTGATGTGTAAGAATGACTGAATGATATTATTTAATTATAATAATATTGAGGATATGGGGTTCAGTTGTTGAGTTAGATTTTAAATTAAGAGATTTTTTTTTCTAGTTTTTATATAAACAAGCAAAGCCTTAATGGTTAGAAGGGCGGGCAATTCATAATTTTTTTAAAAAATGCATACTTTTGTTTATGTTATTTTTAAAACATGACATTTTAGTATGAAAGTATATGCATATCTGTTGAAAAAGTAAGATTGTCTAACCGTTAGGCTTGCCTAAAAGCAGCCTTATTGTTTTTACTTGATCTGCAAATGTATGGATGACTGTAATTTTCTCTTACCTCTTTATCGTTTTGATACTTGGCAATACTCAAAGGGTTCTGCGAACACTGTAAAAACGACCAAGATCAGCAAAACAAAGACTGATATTCGTGTAAAACTATGGAAAATAAACAGGCATGAAGCTTTCTTACATCCATGATGGCCGCTTGAACTCTTGGATTCTGAAATGCCATGGCCACATCAGGATTGGCCATTATTTTAGAAATAACTTCCTCTGGAGTAAGGCCTATCTGGTCTGCAATTAAACATTAGACGAGAAAAAGAGAATGAGAGATCGTGGAAGTAGAAGAACTTGCAGTTTATATTAGAAACGAGCACTGTAATAATACACACCAAACTGTTGTTTGATCTCAGGGCTGCTAAGGTCGAAATTCTTCAAAGAATCCATCATGCGATTGTCCCATTCAGGACTTCCCCCCATGTTATTTCTGCAAGAAGGTACTCAATTTTACTCGTGAGTTAGAATTTTAACAAAATTAGCTTGTTGGGCTAATTGTGTTGGATCAAGAACTCGGCCAAACAGATTCTTTTTTCTTTTTCTACCCTTTTTTTTGAAATTCTTTCAATTGCATGAGAATGAGATTTGCCGGAATGTACGATAAACATGGAATACTTACAGCATGTCCTGAAGTTGTTGACGATATTGAGGATTTTGTAGCATCCCTGTCGCACAATATGGAAAGTTTTTTCATAACTTCAATTCTCACTTGGACAACAGTGAAAGAAAATGCTGAGCTTAAGGAACTAAGTTTAAAGATTGGAGCATTTCAATGCTTAATCTACTGAACTAACGAACTTACACTTAAAGGTGGTGGGATTCCTCATTTCCTCTGGCAAGTAACTGCAAAGAAAATAATAACAAACAGTTTTGGCCATAGTAATGAACAAAAGAAAGGTAGCAACTAAACAATATAGGAAATTTGCACAGATACTATAAAGAGTACTCGTGAATCCCACACAAAATAATAGAGGTGGATATCCAATAACAGGATATTAATAATATGTTAAAGTACCATGGTGAACAAGATTTCTAATGCGTCAGATTAGATACGAAAAATTAAGAAATAGAGTATGTCAATTTCATTTGATGAGGTAATTATGGTTAAATTGACAAATTAAAATTGCACATATATTTAAAAAAAAAAAAAAACAGTCGGTCTATGTCCTCAATATTGTAAGGAAGAAGAAAGGGTGTCTTACGGATAAACCATTTGCTGTACTGTTGGATCTTCCATCATTTTCTCCAAAGCTTCCACTGACAAGAGAGGAGCTTTTTCACCTGTGCATTACAAGAGCTTATTTGAGGTCTCTGATGAGAACACGTAAACAAATTCTGCATCTTGAAAATATCACAGCAAGAACAAACTTACAAGAATTGCAACATACATTACTGCATAGAAATAATGACTAGTACAATATATTTTTGGCTCAACTTTTACTTGGTGTAAACCTAGAACAATTGGAGATTGCAAGTTCAATCCAAATATGCTATCCAACCTCAGTAACTTCTTTCAAACACAATAGCAAAAATATGAAAAAACAAAAGACTTTCTCAACTTACTTGTGGAGGGACCTTTTGAAGCAGGTGTTCCTTGGTTCGAAGCCGTGCCATTTTGAGAAGTCTTCTCGAAAATATACAAATGGTTTATAACAAAGATAGTATTATAACTTATAAAAATGTAAAAGAGCACTCTCTGACAAGAGTCCAACTATCGGGCTGATAAGATTGGGATTCATTTGATGAGTCTACCTGAACTGATTCTTTGAAGTTCTCAAAATCATTCTTCTGTAGTGTTTCGTCTGGAGAAATATCTAGAAAAGCTGCACCAAAAATATCCATTCAGATTCAAAATGAAACAAAAATTCCCCTACTGTTTATCTACAAACAAGATTGATTCTCAATAAAATCCACATTAGTTGACAATCTAGAAGCAGAGAAACACTTTCACTACCCTTCCTAAAAGAACAAAATAAAGCATATTAAAATTCAAAAATAAACCTAGGAATAAGGAAATACCAGATTTCTTTGGTCCCTCTGGTTGTACTTTTTCTTTAGCGGGTATCGATGGAGGGTCCTCAACTTTTGTTGCAGATACATCAACAGTTACAGCTTGAGATGTCACGGGAGTTGACATTTTAAATGCATCTGATGGTGGGTTAGAAGCTGGAGGTGGAAATGGAGATGGGGTTGAGCCGGGTGAAAAGGCAGCATTGCCAAATGGGTTGTTCTGAGTATTCATCTGTTGTGACATGGTCTTAAAAGCTTGTTCCATTGCATATTTCTGCATTAATGAGTATTTAATGGGACCATCAGATGCAGGATAACAGGAAAAACCAACATAGTTCTTGATAAGATCATAGATATATGTCATGGAAAACTAAGGGTGTGATTGGATACAAATTCAATCCAAAAAACACTAATCAAAACTCAAATTTAACTCAACTTTAACTCAACCCCACTATCATTAATATTATCAATATAATTAAATAATATCAACCAATCATTTTTACACATCACATCAACTTTAATTCACTATTCATCCACTCACATAGTTATAACTAATCATAACTTCACATCATCCCTCTCATACTTTCACATCAACAACAACAACAATATATTCTCATACTTTCACATCAAATCAACTTTAATTATTTAATTTTAAATATTATTTTAATTTAAACTTAAATTTCCACTAATAACTAATCATTCCACTTTTTCAGAATTAACAATGCTTAACAAAAAACAAATCAAAAACCCATCAAATCCATATACAATCACACCCTAAAAGTATGACCGCATGGACCTGATACATTGCTTGTGGGTAGAAAAATAAAAACGCTAGAAAGGTGGAAAGGCATTAGTTGGTAAAACGCAGAAAAATACAGTTGTCTGAATTGATTCTTATTAGCATGGAAATAAACTGCAATGATCGGCGGCAGTATGGTTTGTAAATTCATTTTACAACTTTGTGGCATAAGACACGCAAACCATGTTTTTTTTATTTTTACATGTGGTCGAGATAAGGTGACAACAAAATCCATCAAAAGTTGTTTAAATACAATATATATTAATTGGAGCAGACATAAAAAATATCACTAATCTCTGCAGTGAATTTAGACCATAATGCTGAGATGACATTTCAAATTAAAAGATTTCACCAAGTCACACGAAGTGTATCCGTACCGGAAGCAGGATTTCTTAAGTTCCTCGTGAAATGCAAAAGAACAAGAGCAAGCACAAACGCAAGGAAAACAAATAAAAAATAGAAGATCAAAATACAGAACCTGTATCATTAATCGGATTAATGGCATGGATAGTTTAGTAGTATACTTGTTTTATCTATGTAGCAAAACGAATATGAAATTTCCTAAAAGTACATAAATGTGGTTGGAGCTTGTAAGAAGCTACTCACCTTCGCCCTACCAGCCACCTGCAAATGAATTGCAAGAAAATTAAGACCCACAATCAAAACAGGAAAGGAGGAGAAAAAATATCTTGGAGAAATAACAAACAAGTAACATGCACTCACCCATGAAAAAAGTGCTGAGAGGCCAACACCAATACCAATCCAAAATAGAGGCGATCCCCTATTTTTTTTAGAGAAAGAAAATAATAGCAAGAAAATATCAGACATCATACCAAGACCAGCAAATCAGTCATACTCCAACCAAAACAGCTGACAACTGATCATACAGAACTCTCAGTCTCATGAGCAAAAGAAAAGAGAACGAAAGGAAAATGAAGCACGTCTAGATGATTACACTTGTGAAGAAGGAGGTGGTACTGGAAGCTGTGGGCTCACACCAACTGAGGACATCTCTTTGCCTTGCGAAGCCGTGCTAGAAAAAGAATCATTTTTTACTTTCTCCGCCACTGAAAGAATTCAAATGGATGGATGAACAGAATCAAAAAGAGCAAGCATTAAGAAGACAAAACAGAGGCAGCATCAGATGGAAAAACAACAAATCAGCCATTGAAGCAAGTAACTAGGCAGAACTCAAACATGGAAAGACAGAAAGATTCTATTAAGTTAATTTTACTCATGTCAAATGTTAAACTTCAATAATCAAGGACCATGCTCGGACTGAAAATCACGTGGTAATCGACATGATTAGAATCGACTTTTGGTAATCGACAGGATTAGAATCACATGGACTTTACAATTAAGAATAAGCTCTTATTTCATCTGAAACAATAGTTTTTCGTGTAACGAACACTTGCACCTCTACAGGAGACAACCTAATGATGTATCATTGATTCTATATATTCCTAGGTATGGAAACATATCTAATGGCAACAGCATATCAACATGCTTCGAAGATTTTCTGTTAGGACCAAAGTAACAAACTTGAAGGGAGCCCTATATTCCCCGAATCCTTAATTTTCCAGAATTGAACTCATGCAGCATTTTAAACAAAGATTCAACCTTTTGCAGCATATCCTCTCATCTATCTCACCAAATACACCGAATTGGAAGTTGAAATTACAGACAGATAAAAAACGTACATGTAGATAACGGTGCACATTCGTTACAAAAACATAAAACTATAACAACAACAGAGGAAGATAAGAATAAATTACCAATAGTTTTGGTGGGTTTAGACCCTCCAAACAGCGAAAGAACCACAAATGAAGAACCGGGTCTTTTCGGCCCGCCATTGTTTCCGGTTTTCCTGATCAAACTCGGAAGACCCACAAATGGTTTGCCCGGAATTATCGAGTTCCGGCGACTAGGGTAGACTCCGAGTACAACTCTGTGCGAAGAGACAAGGCCAATATTCTCCATTTATTTCAAATTCACGAAAAATAACTTAAAAGGTTTCGAGCTGTGGGTCAGTTTATCCAGGAACTACTGAAAGGAAGAGAGAAAATCAGTATGGGGGCGGACGAGCTTGCAGAGTGTCGTCGTCCCCAAATGGAAAAAGGGGTTTTGAGGTGTTGCGGGTCGGGTTTTGGCTTTAAACGGGTTGGTTAGTTTTTTTATTTTTTATTTTTTGAAATGACAAATTCATTAATTAAAACACATAATTACAACCAGCTAACTAGCCGGATTACGAGGATTACCCAAGGCAGACTAGATACCACAACGCACACTACAATTAGTGATGTAAACGAACCAAACCGAACCGAGTTTGGGTTGTTCGAACTCGTGTTCGTTTATGTTCGAACAGTGTTCGTGCTCGTTCGTTTATTTTTCGAGCAAAAAAATCGTGTTCGTCAAAGTTCGAGTTCATTCGTATTCGAATAATTTAATACATAAATTTTTTTAACATGTTTGATTAACTCGCAATGTGTTCATTCGAACTCGAAAATAAAATTTATTTTTATATTTCAGATTTTTTACTAAAAATATTATGTATATATATAAAAAGTAAATAAAATTATATTAAACTTTAGATACTTTATTAAAAATATTATGCAAATATATAAAAAATAAAATAAAATAAAGTATATTAAATTAATGTGCGCGAACATAATCGAACGTTCACGAACGAGCTCGTGTTCGTTCGATTATTAAGCGAGCCCAACTTTCTGTTCGAACACAGCTCAATTAACAAACGAACGAGTTTTTGTCGAACACGAACGAGCTCGAGTGAGCTTTTCGTTTACAGCTCTAACTACAACACAAAAAAGAAAAATAAGGACTCCTTAATCACACAAACTCACATCAAGAGAATAACACGCTCCTCAAAAGAAAAGAAAAGAAAACACATTTCACTCAACAAAAACATCCACAAAACACCCAAAGACTAAACGAACTAAAAAACCACACAAAAATAATAAAATACTAAAACA